TCATAACTGGAACCATGTAGCTCACAATTAAAAATAATTCAGAAGGGTTGCATTTTTGGCCATGAGAATTTTAAGCATAAATGTGAATCCATATATTTGCTGGTGTGTCTCTCAGTATAACTGGCTCAGGTTTTTGCTGGTGTGTCCCTCAGTGTAACTGGCTCTGATGTTCTTTCTTTAGATAGAAACTTATTTCCTCTGTATAAAAAGGCTGAAACCTAATGTCTTTGAAATCTAAATGGTATGATTTGGTGGGAGTAAAAAATAAGGCAAAAATAAAATACAAATAAAACAAAGAAAAAGTTAGACTTCTTTGACATATGATAATCGAAATTAGAAATAAAAAGTTTTTAAAAAGTAAAGATAAGACCCAAGGTTGAAGCAACATAGAACTGAGAAATTCTAGTGGCAGTTGACAGTTGAGAGAACATAAAGTATGCAATTTTTGGTATTTGCTTTTCAACGATCTCATTATGTTTTTTAAATGTTCACTAAAGTCTTTTAAGCACAAAAATTCATGTTTCTACAGGTAATCTCAAAGAAAACAAAAGAAGAAGTGTGTGCTTGCTTATGTGATCTGATGAAAATGAGATGTCTATGAGAATGAAAGTCAGGGCTCAGAGGAGACCTGGAGGAACCAGGGGAGACAGGCAGCCAGAGACAACAATACTAGGGGCATAGGGCTGGGGAACCTTGAAAGAGTCACAGGTATGTGGATAGGAGCATATACTCTTAAGAATGGGGTTCCTCAGCTGGGCGGTGGTGGCACATGCCTTTAATCCCAGCACTGGGAGGCAGAGCCAGGCGGTTCTCTATGAGTTGGAGGCCAGCCTGGGCTACAGAGTGAGTTCCAGGAAAGGTGAAAAGCTACACAGAGAAACCCCGTCTCAAAAAACCAAAAAAACAAAAACAAAAAACCAAAAACAAACAAACAAACAAAAAACAAAAAAACAAACAAAAAAACCAAAAAGAATGGGGTTCCTCAAGGATGCCTGCATCTGTTTATGTCCTCCATCCTTACTCATGTCTTCTCAGCTTTGCTACCAAAGCCTCAGAGATCATCACTCCTTGTTTGTGGAGTCCTTTCAATAGCTTCCATATATATCACATTTTAGGACCCTGAACCTCAATCCTAGACTTATGGAATATTCTACTTGTTCAAAATTTTTCTTCACTTGAAATACTTCTGATGTGACCCTTTAAAGGTTTTAAAATATAAAAACATTGTCTACAACACCATGATAAATTCACTCCAGGTTAATCAGATTATGAATTAAAATAGGACATACATCTTCCCTATTTGGTGATAGATGATAAAATTTCAATTATTCCTTTGTGATTTGTGGAAAAAAATTTAAATGGCAGGTCAATATTCTTTCTACCTTTAAGTTTTCATACTATAATGAAATACACAATTCTTTAGTGTGGATTACATCATTGCAAGCCCAAGAAACATAATGAAAGACAGCTCTAGCACCCTCTCTTGTGGTCTTTTGCATTTTAGCATGAGCTGGATGACACTAAGAATGAGAAGTAGGACTTCTGTTGGACAGAGAGACTTCCATCACATACCTCACCTTCTTGACTAGAGGTCCCTTTAACTTCTCATATCTTTTTAATGGTGGCATTGGTTTTCACAACTCAAGTAGTACAATTCACAGTAAGTTGTTAGAGAATAAAGTGTGTGTGTGTGTGGGGGGGGGGGGCTTTGGGTTTCATTTCTTTTCCTATTGCCATAATAAAATGCACAGATAAAAGCAATGTAGGGAAGATGCTTTCTTTAATTCACAGCTCCAGGTTTCATGGGAGGGAAGTAGAGGCAGCAGAAGCTGGAAGCAAATGGTCACTTTGCATCCATGGTCAAGAAGCAGAGAGCAACAGATGGATGGTAGTACTCAGCTCCCCTTCCCCATTTTATTCAGACCATGATCTCCTGCCCAAGGAATAGTCCCCTCACAAATAAGAGGTATCCTCACACATTAATTAACATAATAAAAGTAGTCCTCCACAGGCAACAGTAGAGGTCAGTTATGTAGTGATTTCCTTTGAACTGAAACATGCCCTTCTGGTGGGAGGAAGGAGAATTACATGACTCAAGAAGGAACAATCTTAGCATCTCTGAGAACCAAAAAATAACACTTTATAAGATCCCTCCTCAAGGAGCATTCGACAGGTACTGCGGAGAACAGCCTGTCTGACCTGGGAAGGCAGAGTCTGATGGATTGCTGAATTTGAGGCCAGCCTGGTCTAACCATCAAAACCAGAAAGTTGGTGAAGATGTATTTGAAGGGGCGGGGTTGGGGGGGGGAGCACGTTCCAGCCCTAGTAAACAGCAGAACTTGGCAACTCTGGTCACGTGGTTCTGGAGTTAAGGATACATGAAAGGGGTGATGGAATCTTCCTCTGTGACTAAGGAAAGCCACTGAAGCCAGGCATGTGTCAAGGGTGACCCTGAATGGAGGCCCAGAGAGACCATTGTGTGAAGCTGTGAAGTTGAAGCCTGGATTACCTTGGAGAACCCAAGACATTGGAGATGCCAGAGCCATGGGATACCTGCAGAGGGAAGCTGCTAACAGGGAGTGGAACCAGACCAAAGTGTGTTGCAGTCAATAAAGCTGAAAGGAGTTGGATTTCTGAAGAGTGATTTGATATCGGGCATGGAGCTGCAGAGTTTAGTTTGTCTAACTGGTTTTTGTCTTCTTGTGGTTAGGCATTTCCTCATGATGCTCCCTTCCCTATGTTTTAGAATGGTAATGTATATCCTGTGCCATTATGTGTTGGAAGTATATAATCTGTTCTTTTTATTTTTATTTTATAGGGGATTATGGTTAAGAGAGTCTCAGAATAGACTAAACATTGTTGAGACTGTGATAGACTATGGGGACTCTTGAAGTTGGACTAAATGCACTTGGCATTATATTGTTACAAGCTTATGGGGGCCAGAGAGTGGAATTTTGTAGTTTGAATGTAATTGGCCCCCATAAGCTCATAGGGAGTGGTACTATTAGGAGATGTGACTTTGTTGCAGTAGGTGAGACCTTGTTGGAAGAAGTGTATCACTGTGGATGCAGGCTTTGGGGGGCTCATATATGCCCAAGCTGTGCCCAGTGAGAGAGACCACTTCCTGTTGCCTGCAGGATGTAGGACTCTCAGCTACTTCTCCAGCACCATGTCTGCCTGCACACTGCCATGTCCATGATGATAATGGACTGAACCTCTGAAAATGTAAGCTACCCCAATTAAATGTTTTCCTTTATTAAAATTGCTGTGGTCATGGTGTCTCTTCTCAGCAATAGAAACCCTAACTAAACCAACACCCTACCTCAAGGCTCAGGGATCTTCTCAGGGGTTGGGGGAGGGTAGAAAAATGTAAGAGACACAGGTAGTGGATGACTTCAAGAAAGCAGTATTTTCTGAACATAGCAAGGCAGTTGCACATATGAACTCACAGTGATTGTAACAGCATGTGTAAGAACTGCACAAATGCAGGCTGGAAAAATAACCCCAGAATGGAAGGAGGAAAGTGAGTATAAAATCCCATCTCTAACTGTGGGGCTATTGGCATTTGATAGGTGCTGGGAAGGACAGTCTTAGTTTCCTTCAACTATGTGACCCCCTAACAGGTTGACCACACTCTAGGGCATGCCCAAACCCATACTGGAATCAGTGGGTTTAAAGAGAGATTGCGAAAGAGAAATAAAAAGAGACAGAGAAAGGAATGATAGAGTTAGAGATGGAGATGGCAGAAAAGGAGGTGATAGAGATATAGATGGAGATAGAAATGATAGAGATGGGGGTGATAGAGGTAGAGATGATAGGGATGGTTACCTATCTCTCTATATATCTATATCATATATTCTATACATATGTGTAACATATGCATATAATATATATACATGTATACATATAGTAAGGATATGGTTAGATAGACAGAACATAAAGTTGGGGGGGGCAGGGAGGTGTTGGAGTAGTTGGAGGAGGGGAGTGAATATGATTAAAATACATTGCAAGAATTTTAAAAAAATAATTGAAACATTATTAAAGAAATACAATGTACACCAATTTTCTTTAATAGAAAAAATATAGTATTTGATTTCTCATACTGTGGCTCAAAACTAAATTCCCAAGAAGTCCGAGCCACTGTTGAAGCTGAGGCAGTAAATTGCACATGTTGAGATGAGATGAGCAGCCCCTGTGGACAATTACCATCTTTCCTGTAGCACATTACAACCCTTTTTTCTTTTACATTTTCCCTATAATTTAACCCCAGTTAAACTGCTGTGGCATCCATCTTGCTAGCATACCCTTGGGCCCCATGCCAGGTTCTGCATGGACTCTTGGTGAGCCTCATTTGGCTCATCTCTCTCTGGCCTGTGGAACAGTGCTCCCTCCCTCCTCGCCCCTTCCTGTCCCTTTTGAACAGGCCCTCTACCACTGTGACCTCGGCCTGGGACCTTCCTTTAAAGTGCAGTTTCTCCCTTGGCATATTTCTCCTTTCCCCTTCCAGATGTGCTGTGTTCACACCTTTTGAACTGGACATTCCCAACACCCAGGGATATCAACTTATTTTCATGCTCCCTCCAGCAGAGGTTTTCCACATCACTTGTATTTTGAAAGCAATGTCCATAGACTTTAATCTGCACAGGACTAGAGATGTCACATTTTATCATCAAACGTAGACTATTGTGGTTGATTTTCTGGGAAGAATATATTCCTCATGCTCTTAAAAATAGGATGATAAAATCAAACGACCTGGAGGCTGTTGTGTATAGGAAGGTTGAAGCCCTACAGATCTTCTGTGGCGACACTGAAGGTAGCATTTTCATGTTGCTAACATGGGAATTTTTATGATGGAATCTTATGGATATGTAAATGTGCTAAACTTGTTAGAGGAAATGTTCCAACATGGCCTTTATATCCCTGTAGAAATGATCAGACTTGCTAATGCTTCAGGAATTTTGCATACAGCTTTCTTCTCTCCTGATGGTATAGTCACTTACCCGTGATGGCCAATTGAGTCACAAAGAAGGTCATTCGGGACTTTCTTTTCCTTCTCCAAGTGGAGAACAGCACAACAGAGTTTCCCACAATGGTGAAGACAAACAGGACCCACAGGGTTATCAGCTGTTCTGTCTGCAAGAAATAGAATAGCTTGAAACAGAGCAGGTAGAGGACCAGGTGCTTCCCAGGATGGATGGTACAGGCTGGAAAGTGTTTTTCTGGACCCTTCCTTACTCCCTTCCCCACCCCTACCCGGGGAAGCTTGACCCCTTACATGAGCAGTGGAGTAAATTGATGCAAACAAAAATTCTTCTTCTTTGGCAAGTAATTTTAACTTCATGTGAGAGGTTAGGTTATATAAAAGAACACCACAGTCACAAGTTGTGAAAAGAAGTGTTTAAAGATAATAAGATAGGTAAGTAAACTCTTCAATTTGGTGAACTATTGTGCAGCTATCAAAGGTAAAGTGATGAAGACTTGGTAGTGACATTAAAAATACTCATAGTATAATATTTAAGTGGGAAAACATGATAAAATTGTGTATTGGGTGTGACTACAACTTTGCAAAATTACACACATAGGGACAGAAATGAGGTGCACTAAAATGTTCACAGTGGTTATTTTAGGTAGTATGATTATGGGTTATCTCTCTCTTTTTCCTTTGACAAATTTCATAAGATGGTAATATTAAAGTTTTGCTGAATGATGTATAATTAATAAAAAGAAGAGCAGGGATGCCACTCACTTAAAATGCCAAGTCCCTCAGATGATGTTTTTTATGCTCTCTTCAAATGGAGCATTTTATCTGCTTGATATCCATAGCACAGAATAAACAGAGGGGCTGCCTCACCTAGACTCAAGGTGAGCTATATTGTAAGGATTGTGGGGAAAGAGCATGGGCCCAAAGGAATCCAGAGGAAGCCAGAAATCAAAACCAAATCGGCCAAAGCAATCCAGGCGAGATCATTTTAGGAGTGGGCCAGATTAGGATTGCAGCCCAAGAATGTAAGAATCTCAAGTACAGATTAAATTCTGTGTTCTGGGTAGCTAGATTCGGAAACTCTGCTGCTTGGCCAAACCTGAGTCTGAGACATTGAAGGCAAGTATTTCTATCGACGTGATTAGCATCCATTGTCAGTTGATTTTGGGTGAAGGGGATTCTCCACAATGTGAGCAGACTTGTGCAGTGAGTGGGCTTTCAATGGAATCGTGTATTAACAAACTCCTTTAAAGTTGAAAATATCACTTTATGTGTGTATTTAGTATATCTGAGACATCAATCATCATAGTAGCCTATCCAACTTTAGCTGTGTTTAGAATACTCACATTAAGTCACACTTAGACACAATTATCTAATATATAAATCTATTTTATGAGAAAGTATTAAATAGCATATGCGATCTTTTGAAAATCATAGCAAACAACTGCTTCCTTTCATGACAGTGTGGCTCACTGAGCACCATCCTCCCTGTTCCCAGCATCACAAAAGAAAATCAAACTGCACATTGCTAGCCCAGGAAAAAAATTCCATATTCAAAATTCAAAGCACCATTTATAGAGCTGGGAGTTTGGCTCAGTGTCAAGTGCTTGCTTACCCTTGACAGAGCCATGGGTATTATCCTCAGCACCACACAAACACACACAAAATCATACTGAGTGCATGTTCTTTCACACCACCATAAAGTAAAAAACTCAGGAGTTGAAGCATCAAAGACCCAAGCGCCATAAATAAATATATATGCTCACATTCATAATCCTTTCACTGATACTGTCTGTGCATGCCAAGCTCAAAACTAACACCATTTGTTGATTAACATAGAAATTAATTCTATGTGATAACTGGAACAATGCAGACCATATCCTTTTCAGTTGCCTTTCCATTTTAATCAACTCCCCATTCCAAGGCAAATATCATCAAAACGTTTTTTTACTGTCCACCAGCACACGAAATCTTAGGTTCATTATGACATTTTAAGTGTGTTGTTGTTGAGTCCCCTCCTCCCAGCTTCTGCATTTCCCTGACCCCACTTGTGACCTTCCCCAGATATCTGCTTCCCACTGTTGTGTCCATGTGTTCAATTGCTCACCTGGCAATTGGCTCCCTAAACAGCTTTTATTTCCTCTCACGAGGACTCCTTTATGTTTTTCATAGCCAATGCCCACATTCAGACCTGCACACATAATCAGATCTTATTAAAGGCCATGCTTCCCAGCAGGGAGAAGAATCTATGATATGTGTCTTTTTGTGTCTGGCTCAGCTCACTTTATATAATTCTTTCCAGATTTACCTGTTGTCCTGAAATTTTCACAGTTTTATTTTATTTTAGGTTTTAAAAGCATACTTTATGTATAGCAAGGTGATTCATATATCATGTTATTGTTTTCCATTTCATTTATTTATCTAATAACTAAAACTTTATTGTAAAGAATTTGCAAATAAAAGACATTACACGCTGAAATTAGGCAGATCCAAAGTCCACACATCTCAATGAACTTCTATCCAGTTAGAGTGGCCATTGGGAAGCAGCAAGGTTCACATGGGTTTTACATTCTCAATAGAATAATATAGTTCTTTATGGTTTGGGTTTTTTGGTTACTTCATTATTTTTTTTAAAAGAGGGATTCTTATTGAGTATATCTGGCTGGCCTGGAATTCAATATGTAGCTCTTCCTGCCTCCACCACTGGAGTGTTGGGGTTAAAGGTACGCCCCACCACTCCAAGACCTATGAGATCGTAGTTTTAAACAAAAGGAAACAGGAAACTGTTTCAGGTTACAAAGTTCCTCTCTCCAGAACAATTATTTTTAAAAATTACATTTCCTAAGTTGGTCAATACAAGAAATGTACTACATGACTAGCTATGGCTAGTTCCATTGCAGTGACTGGCCGTAGAATTAAAAAGGAAGCCCAGGTTTACAGCCACTGCATCAAAGGGATAACGCATGCTGGATTCTTTAGGAATGCCAAAATGGTTCTGGCTACTGCAATATGTGGAGAGTTAAATTCACATAGTTACCACAGCTGGTGGAAGCCATAACAGAGTTAAAACTAGAAAAAAAAGCTATGTATTTTGTTTCATGGCTCTTTCTTGATTTCCTTTCTAAACTTTTAGACTTTACTCACATATTTTTCTTTATAGCCAAATGCAGTTCCAGACAAATATAACTTTGATTATAGTGTATATCCTGCTTGTGCTTTGGAAAATAGTTTATAAGCATATACATGAAATAACAAATATGTAGTGTTATGTTGTGTGTGTGTTAGTTTGTTATTTACTACAGTCAACATATTGTACAACTTGTTTGTTTTGCTCATCAGAAGTGGCTAAATAAGTGTGATACTTTCACACAAGAGAATAAAATATTTCACTTCAAAGTGAATTGATGGGAAGTGAAAGATGCTTCAGTGGGTGAAGGCATTTACTGCCAAGCCTGGGAACCTGACTTGGATTTCTGTGACCCACATGGTGGAAGAAGAGAGCTGACTCTAACAAATTGTCCATGCTCTCTACACATGTGCTGTGACATATTTGTAAGCAAATATACACATGCAATACATAATATACATACAAAGATACACACATGCATTAATGTAACAAAATAGATGAATGGAGGATGGGGATATGACTCAGTGGGTTAAGCGCTTTTTGTGACACTATGAGGACCTGAGTTATGACTCCTAGCACACAGGTGAAAGCTAGTCACAGTTGTACATGTCTATCATCTTAACTCTGGATAGGTAGAGAGATCCCTGGAGTTCACTGGTTAGCAAACGACAGTAACATCCTAAATTTTTTTTGAGACAAAATTTCTTGCTAAACCTGTATAGTATAGGCTTACCCTACGGCTAAAGACGTTACACTCTTGAGTCACAGAGCATGGAGAAACTGAGTTGGTACTAACTTGGATGCTTCACCCCTACTGACTAGATTTCAGAAGAGGCGAAAGAAAGATTGCAAGAGCCAGAGATGCTGGGTAACTTCAAGGGGACGGTGTTTTTCTAGACACAGTTGCATATGTTCACTCATTGTGACAGTCTATACAAAATCTTTGCAAATTCAAGCTAGACAGAATTCCAGCATGCAAAGGGGATGGGGGCATGAAATCCCACCACTATTTGAGGAGCTATTGATATTTGATAGTTTGCAGGAGGCAGAAGGTCTGCTTTCTTTAAAGATACAACTTCTGTAGGTCTTCTACATGCCAGGGCAGGCTCCACTCCTAAGATGAACTGGACAAGACCAACCAGGCTCAGTGGGGCCAATAAAAAGAAATCTCAAGGTTGGGTTGGAAGGAAGGGGAGGGTAAAGGTTATGGGTGGGGTTGGGGGAGGGAAGTAAATATGTTCAAAGTACATTTTGTGAAATTCTCAATGAATTAATAAAATGTTTTAAAAATGTTATATGGAGAATGATGATGTCAACCTCTGGCATAGAACACACACACACATGCTCACACACACATGCACACACACAATCTAGTAAAAATAGAATGTTGAGAAGCTTCTAAGGCTGTGGGAGTGGAGCACACTGAGCAATGAGTTGGGTGGAGTCAGACTGTCTCACTCACTTGCTCCTATGCATGGCAGAATGTGGTCCCTTGGGTTGCCATATTAAATCCTAAGTCTCCCTGCCAGGTTACAGAGATGGAAGGAAGTTCTTAGGATATCCCACAAGTCTCCATCCTTGTCAGAAATCCAGGATAAATCTAGCACTTATACGAATCATAATGTATATCAGGCAATATTCCAGTTCTCTGTTCTAGATTTGCAGATGGAGACCAGAGTTTCTGGATATACCAGGACCTTGGGCATCATGAAAGGGAAGTAGGGCAGACACTGGCACTAGAGAGAAGAGGGAGATGGAACTGAATGGGAGAACCACAGGGCTAATCTTTGCTATTTTGGAGGCTACACATAACCTATACCTTACTTCCAATGTGCTTGTCATTTCCCACTTAGAGAATCACTTCCGTGCTAACTGTCAAGTCAGAGGCCTTGACCTTGTCCTCTGCTCACCAGAAAGGTTGTATGTCTGGATAACCTGCTACTTCAAAAGCAATCTTCCTATGAATGGCATCAAGAAAGCCCAAGGAGGTAACGTTATTAGCCTGGAAAAGATTGTTTTGGCTCT